CATCTCTGCTCTCATCTCTCGCTCCTCTCCTCTCTCTCTCTCTCTCGTAGCGTCTACGCAGCTCTCTCTCGTCTCTCGTCTCTCCATCTCTCGTCTGTTCTCTCCTTCTCTCATCTCTCCATGTATACATGTTACACGCTCGCGGAGGTATGCACTCTCTTTGAGTGCCCTCTGTCTAGTTTTACTAGGTTTCTGTTGTACTTCTATGTGCCAGTGCTATACCTTCATGTGCCATCTGTGCCTAGGACTACCACGATATACTAAGAACATAAATATGTCACAACTAAAAAAATTAGCAGTCTGCAAGAAAATTGGACAAATGCTTCGATTGTCCAAACCCGCCATCAACATATTGCGTTTATGACAAGTGATTTTATGACAAATTAATTTTTCCTTCCTTTTTGTGGGTATCTGTACGTGCCGCATCACAACTGAGATTACTGTTAGCGTTTCTTGCGTTGCTACTGAGCAGCTACTCGGTCCACTTCTGTCCAAAAACAAGAACTTATTGAAGAAATTATAAACAGTTGCGTTGTATTTCAACCTACTTGTTTTGAAGTAACTAAGTATGTTGCGACAAAGATGGACGCGTGTTGTTAAGGAAAGTCGAACGTTGAAATAGACACAAAAAGTGTGGAATTTTATTGCATATATCTAGCATGCAGAAGTCTTTGAGGAGGTTTTGAAATTTTAATAGTAATATTTTTTTGATAAACCGCATCTTCAGCCCCTGTACTATACAATATGTTCCACTGGCATCTGAAACCGCATCTAATTTACATGCAGAACATAATATCAGGATATATTACATAATTCATGTACTTTTGATATACATGCTTACTTCTGAGTACTATGCTCAGATCGGGGCAGCTGAATATGCCACCGTGGTTTCTCGTACGCCCATCGCTCGTCTTATTCAACTCCTACTGAATTATGTAGCTGCACGGTTTGAGTTTAAAATACCTTTATGTAGCTTGCCTGTAAGAAGCCTAGCGCTATTCAATGCTGATGGCTTCGGAATGATTTTTTGTCGTGCTGTATAAGTTAATGTTATATGCAGGCAGTTTTCGGCTGCTGTGTATAGGTTTCCTTCAGTTTAATAGGGTAATGCGAGGCTGCGGTGTGGGGTTTCTTGCATTCTACATGCTTTCAGCTACATGCTGACATTTTTTGGTTGCTGTGTAGTTTTTGCTCAGTTGTATATA